ATATTGTGGAAAGTGTCAATCTTCTTATGTCTTCGAAAGGTGGGTCAGGGTCCCCCCACTCTCCCTTTTATGTGCATATGTGGGATTGGGGTTTTTGACAGTGTCTGATTATGTAGTGTTTTGTAATCCTTATTGATTTTTACAGGTAGCGTGCTGCGTTGTGATGTTACTGGAAAGATTCTTATGAAGTGTTTTCTCTCTGGAATGCCTGATTTGAAGCTGGGATTAAATGATAAAATTGGTCTTGAAAAGGAGTCACAGTTGAAAGCACGTCCCGCAAAAAGGTAGCTTCTGTCAATCAGTCTTCTTTCTTATCATTTGTCTGCCTGAGATTACAGTTAGTTTTTCACTCTTATTAACAATCTACTGTATTAATTTTGTTTTACCCCTTGACCAATCTTATGCTAGTTTTGTCTCTTGTTAGAAATAGCTGTTACAACATACCATATTTGCCATGAAATTTTATTACTTTGGTCTTTTTTATTTACTATTCACAAATTATACTTTAAATAGTTTTTGTGATTTATAAATATTGATAACACATAGTCATGTGGGATAATGTCAGAATCATCTTAATGTATATTTTCATAATATTAGCTTTTTATAACTTTTACTTATGATAATTAGAGATTTAATTGTTGAACCTGTGTGTCGGCAAACTTGATGAAAGAAACTGTGTCATTTAAAAAAGAATGGAGGAAGTACTATATTTTCTTAATGTGCCAATTTGCCATTGCCCTAGATCATCATCCCTCCACTTTGCTTACTATATACGCAGTGCGCCAATGCTGGGTTAGATTAGGTCTTGAGAATCATGACTTCTGAAAATTGCTAGCAAGGTCACCAACTTGTTCAAAGTCATATCCAAGCACTAGTATATGTATCTTGAGGAGTAAGTCAAAACGAAAGCTTGTAGGATAAAATTTCATATTTAGATCTAGGGAAAAAAATTCAAATTTTGGTCCTAATGCAGTTACTGTAAATGCTGATTGGAAAGTTACAAATCATAACATAACTGAAACTATAAAGCTGAAATGATTTAAAATTACCGCCAATTCAGCCAAAGAAAAGCTTTGGTATTGGAAATCCTTCTCCCATCAACATCAGTAAAGTATGTTAGTTCTTCACAAAATTTGCAAGATCCATTTGCATGTATGCATAGTTTGAAATACGTTTTTATTAATGTGCTATATAATACATGTACTTTCTTGCCTAATGTCAGCAACATATATGTTTTTACACTGTTCCTTCATGTGATTTTAGAAGCGTTCCTTTGCTCGTTCTTCTTATAGCTCTTGCATAAGCTTTGGTCCTACTCATAGCTCTTGCATAAGCTTTGGTCCTACTCATAGCTCTTGTGTATTAAATTTTGATTTATGGGCAGATAATTATCAACTAATCTTGCTTTTTTGTTGTACAAACTGGGTCTTCTTAAGGTGTAATTGCACATTTGTACATATATTGTTATGGGAGAGCATTGTGTATGGCTGAGTGTCCTGTAGGCATAATCCTACAGTAAATATGTAGCATAACAGTTATGATAGTATGATATTCATGTCTGTTGCACCATGTTGAACTATTGAATCCACATGGGTAGAAGTGTTTATTTGTACCTCAAAGCTCTAGGTCAAGCCCTATTTATTACAAAGTACTTATTAAGCCTTGCTTGTGAGCTCTTATCACAGTACAGGTTTCATAATTCACATGGTTCTGCTCAGATTTAGCTGTAGTTAACTTCTTATATCCTTGTTATGCTTCCTTTTTTCAGTGGGAAGACTATTGAGCTGGATGATGTAACCTTCCACCAATGTGTTAATTTGACGAGGTTCAACTCAGAGAAGACTGTCAGTTTTGTCCCTCCAGATGGTGAATTTGAATTAATGAAGTAAGCCTCACTGCTATTTCAATGAATAGGCTTTTTGGCTAATGTTTGGCTGGTGTGAAATATCTGATGCTGTTTCTTTGTTTGAATTAATGAAGTTTACCGGGTGATCAATTTAAAGAATTAATGATGCAGTCTCTTTATTTGAAGCAGCTTCTTGTCTTTTTTGTTGTTGAATGACTCTTGAATCTAATATTATAATGTCTGCCATAATTTTGTTCCCTTAATGTTTGAGGTTCAATTGATTATAACATTTTGTGTTTATCTAGTTTTTAAAACACCAGGATGCATGGTTTGTTGTATATATTGTTCTATTTATGCTCCGGGCTCTCTGGTTCACTCTGTCTTTTGTCCTCTGTGTAAAGTTGTCCTGAAATTTTCATCTGGAATTTCATCTAGTTGTCAGCTTTTGCAAATCTTACTTTTATAATATTCTCTGCTCCTGATATTTCAGGTATCGTATAACTGAGGGTGTGAACCTGCCTTTTCGAGTATTGCCAACAATCAAGGAATTGGGTAGGACACGAATGGAAGTGAACGTCAAGGTTTGTACAGTTTCTCTTGTGAAGCCAAGCATCAATCTTATTATATGTTTTTTTGTGACATCTGCTTATAAGTCTTAGTTATCAGGTTAAGAGTGTCTTCGGAGCAAAGATGTTTGCTCTTGGAGTTGTGATTAAAATACCAGTTCCCAAGCAAACTGCTAAAACAAGTTTCCAAGTGACATCTGGTAGAGCTAAGTATAATCCAAGCATCGATAGCTTGGTTTGGAAGTGAGTTTCTTCCTGACACTTTTTCAATTTACCTTGTCGATTAGTGCTTCTACCCCCGTATCTGTTTGCATATTGCACGTGCTTTTGTACCGCATATTATCTTTATTCCTCAACACATGAGAGTTGAATACCTTTTAGGACGTCTTCTGACCTGGAAGTGATCTTAGACTTTCTGTAATTGTGGTTTTTATAGACTTTATGTAATTGTGCTACAGACTTAATGACCTTATGTGTTATTATATCATTTATCATATCTTTAACAGCTATGCTAATAATTGCTGTCTCACAAATCTTTTCAATGAGCTCGTGAGTATTTTCTTAACGCATTATAGGCCAATGATACCTTGTTGTTTGGAACCAGATAATACTATGATATAGGTTCGTAAATGTGGGAGGATATTCTTAGTCAGTAAATCCAATGTTAAACTTTTAATTTATCATTGTTTGATTTTTAAAAAATTGGACGTGTTTTGTTATATGTCTCCCCTTTTTGATGCGCCTCCTTGACTTTTCTGGCTGCTCTGTAATAACTCTTGAATTTTGATAACAGAATAAGAAAGTTTCCTGGCCAGACGGAGTCAACCTTAAGTGCTGAGGTAGAGTTGATTTCAACTATGGGTGAGAAAAAGTCCTCAACAAGGCCACCAATTCAAATGGAATTCCAGGTATCTCATAAACTGTTGCAATGTTGCTGGATGTACATTTTTTCTATTTTAAGTAATGGTCTTAGATTACATGTCTTTTTTTTTTTCCCCCTGAAAATATTGTGATATTTAGGTCCAAATTAGATAACTAAGTGTTCATCTTTGACTTCATTCATGCTAAACATACAGTGTGTGAAGCATGTGTACAGTACTGCAGTATATGACTTCATTCTGCACTTAGTGTGGATTGAGAACTAAAATCATTTTACCTGATTTGATGTAAATTTTTTTTTGTCAGGTTCCTATGTTCACAGCATCAGGGTTACGTGTTCGTTTTCTTAAGGTATTTTACTTTGATCAAGTCATTCTGCCGTATCATTAATGATGTGTCAATTTTTTTTTTTTCTCACTTCGTCCTGTCTCTGCAGGTATGGGAGAAAAGTGGGTACAATACTGTTGAATGGGTTCGCTACATAACAAAAGCTGGTTCCTATGAGGTTAGGTGTTAAATTCAATGGAAGTTGGCAGTAGGACTTGGCAAAAGGAGATTTTTTTTCTTTGAGCGCTTTGTAGAGATTTTCAGGAGTTTAGCAGCTGGATGTTCTGAATTAATTCATGGTAACAGTAACTCTCAAGTTCATGTTACCCCTTGTCTGGCTAATCTTCTGCGCGTTGCTCTCCGGGAATGCTTATTATGTTGCCTCTTTGCATCATCGTCAAATCCTTTCCCCCCCTGTATTTTTAGTAATTCAGTCTTTGATAGCATAGTATGTTGATATGATTATTTGCATTTTATAGTGTGGAAATGTTGTCTTTTATGTAAAGAATAATTTTCAGATTTATGGTACGGGAAGTGCAGAGTTTTGAATTTGTATCTTTGTACGCGATTCTCTCCACATTGAATTTGATTGCTTAATATCATTGAGGTTCAGATTTATGCTGTGTGCAGATCTTCTGTTTCACCTGGGGACCGTTTTTGGTTAGTTTTGTACTGCTGTGTTTAATATTTGCAGTTATCTTGTATTGTTTTTATCCAACTGCAATATAAATAGTTTGGACTATCTAAAGGAATTACAACTTTTTTTCCTTTCAATTTCAGAAGTTGCACGAAATTCCTCACTGACCTCTTTCTCTCTTTTCAATAGTATGCCCCAATGTTGGAGAAATAATTATCAGAAAAATCTCCTTTTAATTGATCCTAGAAAAGTTGCGTGTCATAGTTAAGAAAATTGAAATTTAAAACTCGGTTCAAGTTGGAATCCATATTTGTTGTAGGAAAGGAAGATCAAAGGATATTAGATAAATTCCCCACAGATATATTCATGTTACACTAGGCATTGATTATTAGGCGAAATCTCTTTGTATTTTGAAAACTCTCTCGGTTTAGCATTTATGCATATTCGCATTAGGTATGTGATCTTAAAATGGTGTGTTGCCGAACTTGCCTTATTGGTGAAATTCGCGTTGTTATGTAATACACCGCATAATAAGAAGTAACAATTTAAGAGATGATAAAGAATGGACGTACTTTTAACAATAATCATCCTATACACGCGTGCAATTGTACTGTAAGCTTCTACTAGACTACTACTAGTTTAGATATCAGATACAAAGTAGTTCAGAATTCAGATTACATACAAAGCTCCAAATTATCGTTGTTCAACAAAGATGCAATGTAAGTGTAATTAGGAAGAATAAAAGCCAATTTGTTGCATGATTACTTAAAAGTACATTTGAAAGTGTGTAATCCATAAATTAAACTTTTAATAATCCCCAAACCCAAAGATTATAAAAAGCAACAAACTAAAGACAAACCAACACACAAAACTCACAAAATTCCCTTTTTAAAGCATTCATTCAATCAAATAACCCCCAAATTCAATCATCTTCACTCTTTCTCTCTCCTCTCGATCCATTGAAATTCCCCTAAATTCTTGTTACCCAGAAAAATTCTCTTCAATATCTCGCCATTTTCGCCGTTGCCGGCACCTCTGCGACCTTCTCTCTCTTTTAAATGAGGTTCTTTAAGAGGATCGCCGGATTTCTAGGGTTTACGAAGGATGAAGGGCATGAATCCATGGAAGAAGATGATGATGCTAATAATATTCCGAATAATTCTGACGATATTCGCCGCAATCGGATGAATGTTGACCCAGTTCATACTGGCCCTCGTAGAGGATTCAGTGTTCCAGTTCAAGTTCCTGTTGAACGTCCTGTTGTGGGTCCTATTTTGGTCCCTTGCAATGGCGATGGTGGAGTTCAGGTCACCAATTTCATCTCTTTTTTGCTAATCTATTTTGGGTTTTGTAATTCTATTGAGCAAATTTGTGATCAGTATAATATTATGTGTTATGTTTGCTTATTTGATGGTGTGAAATTATTGGAGACTTTGTCAAAATGTATCTTTAGAGCAGCATGTTTATGACATTGTGTAAACAATGGATTAGAATTAGCTGGGAAGCTATGAAATTTGACAACTTTATTGTCCTTTCGATTAATATAGTGATTTAGAGTTGCTGCTGATAGTAGAGTGACTTGCATATTTAGTAATAAAGAATTATAAAGTTGGATGGTTTGACTTGGGTTGATCTTCTGTTCTCCTATATAAAATGATTCCTAGCTTTTCCTGGATCTTTTGAGTAATAGAGTACAAGAAATCTCTTTGATCATGAATCATTAGTAGTTTGTGGGGTTTGCAAGCAGTGTCCTTAGGGTGCTTTATTTGAACGATATTCAACCGAGTTTGGAAAGCTATTTTTTTCTCCGCATGGAATGGTTGAAGGATGTGGGTGTGATGGATTTTGGGCAGTTTAGTTGTTGAAGGCATTTGGTGCAAACATAATACATGCTTTCTAAAAAGCTTATTTCTCTCCTTTTTGTTGACTATATTGTTTTGAAAGAAAATTTATGCTATCTGTGTGATGACCTAGTTGAACTTGAACAATTGAACTTTTTTTGGAGATTAACTTTGGTGAAGAAGTATCGGCCAATCACCTCGATTTTTTGTCAATTGGTGTTGTGGTGCGTAAGTTTAGTTTTGGTTAGAACTTAGAAGTATTTGGGTTCGCCTTCATAAAGTGAATATGCTATGGTTTTTGATGAGGACTGGCTTTTTTCTTTTAAGGATTGCTTCTAACCCCCTTTTACTCTCTCTTGAGGGTATGAGCACATGAACCTAGAGTTAGTTTCTGCTTTATATGGTTCTATCTTTGATTATGGACCTTGTCATGCACTCATTATAAGCGTACAACTTTTATTCATTGAAAATTTGTGTTGTTAATTTTAAGCACTTTGGTATGATCTAGAGTTTTTTCAATACTACTTTGTAGGTAAGATTGTGCATGATTTCATATGCGAGGACTATAGTTATTAGATTTTTGTTTCCTTGGGATTTACTATACTTGTAATTATTTTTATCCCTTAAATTTTTGTCAACCTACTTTAGACTTAGATTTGTGCTTTTATATCTAACTTTTTTGAAATTAGGGATTATGTATAGGAAAAATGAAAAAGAAAAATCCAACCTTTCAACTTTTTCTTTACAAAAATCCAACCTTTTGATTATTCCTCAAAAATCCAACCTTTATACCCCTCCTTCTTCAACAGGTCCATTACCTGTTGATGACCCATTTTTGTAAGTCATATTCTACGTGTCAGCTATTAATAGGTTAATTATTTTTTTAATTATTAAAAAGCAAAAATAATTAAAAGAAAAAGGAAAAAAAAAAATCAGAAAACCAGCCCCACCCTCTCCCTTCCCTGACCACCCCAACCCACCGCCACCAAAACCCAACGCACAGCCACCAACACTCACACCCAGCCACCAACTCCACCGCCCAGCCACCAACACACACGCCCAGCCACTCCAAAAAAATTTAAAAAAAAAACTCACTCATCTCCTCCACCAGCCACCAGCACCACCAGCGCAGCCTTCCTCCCAACCCCCGGCGTCGGCCGCGCCCAGATCCCCCTCCCCTGGCGCCGTCGCTGAACCCTCTCCCTCACCGCCATCCCCTTCCCTCTTCCTCGGCAACCAGCGCGAACCCCCTTCCCCAAAACCATCCCTCCCACACAAAACCACCAAAAACCCATCTCCCACGCTCGATCTGCCCTAATCAGCCCCACAACTCCAAACGCACAGCCACCACCTTCCATCACTCTCACTGCATTCTCCGGCGCGACAACGGGGCATTTCGCGGTTTTCATCTTCCTCAATTGCTCTCCTCATTGCACTATCCAAGTCCACCCCATCCTCTGTTCATCTGTCTTCGTTGTCGTCGAGGGTTGGTAGAAATCGGCGATTTCTGCGGTGTTGAGTGGTGGTGACGGAAGTGGGGTTGGTGGTGACGGAGGTGGGGTTGGTGGTTGAGGTGAGAGGAGTGAGAAAGAATAGGAGTGAAAAGGGAAAATGCAAAAAATAAAAAAAAATAAAAAAAAAAACTTTTTTAACCTGTTTATCAGGTTATAGGTAAAATGGACCTGTTGGAGAAGGAGGGGTATAAAGGTTTGATTTTTGAGGAATAATCAAAATGTTGGATTTTTGTAAAGAAAAAGTTGAAAGGTTGGATTTTTCTTTTCCATTTTTCCTTATGTATATGCTTAATTTTTGACATAAATCATTGGGATATGTTTGAGGAACTGCTCATCATCTGATGATTGCCATTCTCTATTTTGAAATATCTCATGTTTGAAGTTTTAATCATAATATTTATTGGTAGATAATTGCCTAAGCTTAGTCAACTTATCCTAATTCCTAGATTTGAAGAGTTTTGTTATTCTGTACCCCCTGAGAATTTAGAGTTAGAACTGTTTGTCTCATTTGCTGCACCTCTTTTTTTTTTTCTTTCTTTCTAAAGTCATCTCAAGATATTGTTATATATGTGGGGAACTGTCCATCATCAAATGCCTGTTATATTCTGTTTTGGGACTTCTTATGGAGTCATAGTTGTTGCTAAATTAGTCTAAGGATGTAGTCTAATCCTATCTTCTATTGCAGCATTTTGGCTTTTCTTTTTGAGCTTTAGAAAGTTGTGAAGATTTGAGTACAATTATACTTCTTTCCCTTAATTGCTTTGATTACTGATATTTTGACTTGTACTATAGAAATTTTTTTAAAAGCACAATTTCCCTCCTTTACCTATCTTTATCCTGAAACTATTCAATAATTGTAGCTACATACTTAGTAATTGGTTAATTTTCTTGATAAATGGCTGCATTAGAAACTAAGGTGTAGTTAGTGTGATACATGGCTAAAGGTCTACAAACATTTATCTGTGTTTGGTCTGGTTCGTAATGTACATGTCATCACCTACAGGTTTAAGAACTGCTCCTGAGTATATTGCACTCAAGTCTGAACATAGGATTGTGAATTGAGATAGAGCACGATGAGGGTTGAGATTGTGGCAGAGTAGTGCCAATTGAACAAATTTTGTTTGTGAGAAATTGGTCATTTGATGAAAGGATGTCGTGTATATCTGAATTGGCTTTACTATCATATCTGTCTGCTTCAGTAAATTTCCTATGGGGTTCTTTTACTTCCTATGTAGTAGTTAGTTGCCCTCTTTTTTTGTATGAAAGGTATTTCAGCATTGATTGTTTTATCTAATGCATAATTTTTTCTTGAAAAATTAGTTCAGATGAGTTTTGGTTGGGCCCAATAAGCTTTGAGTCAATACATATAAAGGTTACCAATATCATTTTAGAATTAAAAGTAAGTTCAGTTCAGATAATTAGATTTTAGGACTAAGTGAATAACAAACTCTATCAGATCAATGTTTTGCCTTGCTTGATGGGTGGCTTTTTCATTGTTTCTTGTGGCTGTGCTTTTTGCACCCTTGCTGAAACCGTTGCATGATTGAGTTCAACTTATAGTTCATTATGAGAAGTGTATATTTTCTCAGGATCTTTCCCATTCTTTTGTGGGCAAGTTGTAGCAGGCATTTAGACACCATAAACTTGAGGGAGTGTATTGGAAAATAGCAGGAGTGCAGGACCATCATGTCTTGAGAGAGAGGGGCCATTTGCCACAGTAGTGTAATACGCCTGCAAATTTTCCATAGATGGAACTTAAATTTGCCGAGCTAAGTATAATTTGCTGTATGTTCATGACAACAAGTTGTCATTTATCTTATATCTCCCATACTTTCTTGGGTTGTCACTTGTCAGGGCAGTAGATGCAGGAAAAGCTTTCTGTACCTTTTGGAGAATAAAATATTGAATTGGCAGTTCTTATTGTAGACCTCACTTAGATGTGTTATTTTACATATAACTGAGCTGCTTGTCCGAGTTCTTCCAAATTATTGGCATAGAATCTTGCATTAATAGCTTAGCATTACTTCACCCCTTTAGAGGCTTTCAAACTGTACCTCTGGTGATGTCTGATGAGGTTTTCACCCAGGGTGGATGCCCGATAGGGTAGGCAATCATTTTATGTAGTCCATTTTAAACTATTGTGTGTTTCTTGGTAGTTGTTTTAGCTGTGGAGCAATATTTTATAAGAGCATACTAATACGCTTGTACTTTGCCCTTGGTAGGTGCTGTTATCACACAGTATGAGTGTACGACTATCATATAATCCTAAGTAGTACCTGAGCCAAATAGTTTTTATAAATCTGTACATAACTACACTCTATACTCCAATGCTTAAGAGATTTGACCAACAATATAGTAGCATTTATTAAATAATTTAAGCATAAACAAAATATGTAGATCACAGAACTTGCACCAATGACTTGTTTTATTGCTTGTACAATGTATAGAGTGAAATATGTCCCCAGTTGTTTGGATTTTGGTTTATTATACTGTATATAGACAGATATAACTATGCTATTAAATCAAAATGTCTGCATTTCCAGCTCCTTCAAGTTCTTATACTAACAGGTTTAACTGTAATCACAGGGTCTTAAATGGTATGCACAACGTCTGAGAATAGATGAAGATGGAGATGTAGCGGATGAATTTTTCAATGAAGTTTCACGAGAAACATCACACGCCATGCAAGATCAGTCGAAATCATTCCCAAGGTATCAAGTGAAGGCCAATGTAAGACATGCAAAAGTTAAAAATCAGCAAATGACTCCTGATGGTAAGTTTCAACAATTGGTGGACTTTCAAGGTCAGTTGCAGTGGGTCTAGAGTTAAACAGGGTACTTGATCTCACTTGATGCGGAGAAGATAGATGGAGGTAAAATAGAGCTTATAACTTAACTGAAGAAACTGCTTTCTGCTGATAAAGAAGCCGAAATGTTGCCTCATACTCAACAGATGTTTCCCTGCTATTTAGCTGTATGTTTCCTTTTTTTTTCAGGGAGTTTGTGGTTATATCTATATATAACTGGCGTTAGCGTCTGCCTTATCGTGTAGAAACATTGTAGGCTGGCTGCGCTGGTCAGTGAGTTTGATCTGCTTAAACTTATTACGCGTATACATTCTGTTTTCCCCAATCTTGTAAGATTATTGGTCTTTGAAACGTAGATTAGTGTAAGAAACCAAAAGTCTACCCTTTCACTGCATAGAAAAGCTCAGCAATTACACACATTTTGTGATACTCCTTATTAGTTAACTAGTGCTTTCTTTTTCTTTTTGGGCGAATAAATGTAAGCATTTGATTTAGAAATTGTCTTCATTGAAAATTTAATCTTTCGGCTGCAACTTTGCAGTTTCCTATTTTCATTGTATGCTTGCCTATTATTCTTGTTCATTGTTCGGATAATTGAATGCGTAGGTCCATCATCGGGAGCAGTTGGGTTCGTGCACGAATGTACTCTTAATTAATCATGTAATATAAACATTTATGCGATGACTGAATTCTAACAAGATGCAAAAGTACTACTAATAACCCTTGAATTAAACAAAGGCATAAAACCTGCGTATTATATATGAACATTCTCCAAACATTCTTACAACACACTGCTACTGTAATAGAAGATTAAACCATCCTACAAACGTCAAAGAAAGAACGCTAAATGGGGTTTGAAACAAGCCATCCAACTTAGAGATGCTTATTGTAGTGTGGAGGTTGAACTTGGTTATGTGTAGTAGTAGTTGTGGTTCTGGTTCCGGGTATATTGCCCGCTGCTCCATAAGCCTGCTGATTGCCAATTTTAACAGGTACATGGTCAGCACCAGTAACTATGCCAGTTCCAGGCATATGGTAATGATGTCCTAGTTGTTTTGCATCCAGTTTCTCTGCTGTGTGCTTCGCTTTCGAGTTGTGCAACTCCGCCTTGGCTTCTGCCTCCTTCACTTTCCTCAACTCTGTCGCTATATCTTTCTCCTCCTTTGTCCTCGCTGTCGCCTGCTGAGCCTGCCAATTCAAAATCCATTTCAAATCTTCAGTTAGATTTCATAAGTTTGGAGTAGTACACACGGGTGAACTTTATTTACCTTTTTTTTTTTGGGTTAATCGATCCCAAGATCTCTTGAAACCACTTGATAATCCCTCAAGCTCGTTGAAAGTTATAACTACTTAATCCCTCAAGCTCGTTGAAAGTTATAACTACTTAGGATCATGTACGAAACCAGAAAATTGGAAACGAATTTAACAAGATATCACGTAACTATGTTTTGATTCGGTAATTAGCTAGATTTCTTTTGGCATTTTTTACAAGATTTCAAATGGGACAAACAAAAGGAAACTTCAGTTTGTTGGTAATCGTAAAACTCAAATGGTGCAATTAAAAAAGAAGGGATACCTCTTCTTCAACTTTGGCCTTGGCAACCTGTATCTTCTCTTTGGCAGCGCTTGCCATGTTGCTAACCTTATGCTTTGCTGATTGCATCTTCACAGATTTCTTGCTTTTCAAATCAAAATAAAATTAACTGCAATATTGAGTTTGATAATGCTCGTCGTTGGATCTTAAATAAAAGTTTGATGTATAAACGAGATAACTACCAACTGAAGACAATCTAAAGGACACTAATATACTTTTTATAGAAGAAGAAATTTGTGCGGTTCATGCCACGTGTTGGACATGCAGGCTATATAGGTGGTGTTTAAACATGATGAATGAATGAAAGATAAGTTAAATCAATCTGTCATCGATCCTTTTACAAGTTTTATCACGTGGCTATTTAGATGGAAGTTTAATTACATATCTTTGAAAGGCGGTTTAATAGATGGTCTAAATCTGAACAAGTTTTAATAAGTTCAGATAAGTGAAAATAAAGCGAATTTAACACACCTTAGTGTCAATAAATTTTTCCGCCCTCATATATATATGCACAAAAAGCTCTCAATATCAATTTCAGTACAAACAATTTAAAAGGTCTGGAATCAACTGTTGAAAACCCATGATTATATGCACTGTTAAACCATCAATGGCATGAGATTGTTTGATTTTGATACATGATGCAACATGCCCCAGGTACAGCTCCTACAAAGCAAAAATGCAGTACTGCTCCGAGTGAATCGCAGTGCATATAATTTGCACACCAAAGTAATTAATCATTCAACAAGTTACCACCCTCCCTGATCTGAAATATACATTCCAGAGCTAAACTACAGAAATCTAATGACTTCAAATGCATCATGCAATATATCTGTCTTGTTGCTCCTGCAGAAGCTTTGCTGAAGACTTGGCATCCAGATACAATGAATCACCTTCCTCAATATCCGCCTAAAAGTTGCACAAATAGAATTGTAAGTACGTGTAACCAGGAAATTTATAAAAGTTACTTGAAATATAAAGGTATTGGAAAGCTGGTATACCTTGCATATATTTTCTCGGCCATTCATCCGGGCAATCACACTTGCTGGTGATAACAGCTGAACTGCATGTCTGTTGAGCCACAGGGCAGAGTTGGTCACACTTGAGACTCGAGAGTGAAAATAAAAGTATATATAAAAGAAGAGAGTAGAAAGGCAAACCTCAAAGATGCTCGCTGCCCTATCTCACCCAAGTAAGCTAGACCTTCTTCTTCTACAACCAGTTCCTCCACTTGAGCACGGATTGCTAAAATCTGGTAAATGGAAACACCAGGAACAGAAAACAAAATCAGAGAAAGCAAAATTTGATTGGATGATAAAAATTAGTGATTTGTGCAAAGAGCAATTAAGTACAGATGAAGATTACAGGACCTGGATCATCTCAGCAGGACCATAAGTTTCTGTTCGTATTATCAATAGCCGGTCTAACAAGTCTACAGGTATTCCATGAGGACTCTTCATTGTTGTTCCTCTGTTTGAAAAAATAAAACCCAGTCAAATCCAAAACAACACAATCCAATTGCTTAATCTTTGTTACAAATCTCTTCACTAAATTTCTTGAAGACAGTATGAAGCAGCACAAGGAGTAAACAAAGCATGACAACCTTATGATAAAACAAATGTTTCCAAAATATCTTTAGGCAGTGCACAAGCTTGTCAATGTTAACAACTTCTGACACCAAAACCAAAAAATAGGTAATCAGGTACATGTATATCCCATCCTTTCTTGCAAGATTAGGCAAATACGGCAAGTTTCAACATTTATATTCTCTTTTACCAACAAGATGAGCGATTCACTCAATTGGATATATGCCTGAATTTCTCTCATATGGGCAGCATGTGTGTATGAGTGTATCTCATTAAAGGCAAAAGCAAATCAAAGATTTGTTTTCAGAGCATTAGGACAAGCAAGTCAAAGAAACAAGTGAAATTGTTGCTCACTATGGAGTATGGACTAACTTGGGGGAACCCCGGAAAATTGACAGCCTATGTTCTTAGACAATGTCATAGCATAACACAGTAGTTTACAAATCCTCGATCTTCACAAATTATGCAAAAAATTCTTCACAGATTTCTAGATTTTCCCAGGCATTTGTACTTTAAGATGCATACCTCACATCACATACTCCTCTATTTGTTGCAAAGATCACTATTGGGGATAACGAGCTTTCCAATGCTCGATTCAAATATGAAAAGCATTCGATATCCAGCATGTGCACCTGTCAAGATATCTGTCAAAATCATGGGATACAAATATACAATACAATTGATTTTTGCACAAATCAAGCTATAAGAAAATTTCAAAATAAGCACCTCGTCAATAAATAACACTCCAGGTACAAGCTCCGCAATACCTTCATCAATATATCGATTAACAACCTGACAAGGAAGAACTAAGAAATTAAGTCTTCGGTGGAAAAATTTAGATTTAAAAATTCAGCTATACATTAAAATTTATAGGGACATATGCCATAGAATCTAGAAGCACTTACAAAAATATAAAAAATAAAATAGCATTATTATTGCACAGAATTACAAGTATATGAATACAAGACTACAATATAAGCATACAAAAGCTAGTACCTTATTAATTTCTTGACGTAGCTTATCTGTGATTTCTGTTTTCCTAGGCTTCATCATCTGGCCCATCAGAGATAATATGTCTTGTCCACCTTGTGGCCTAGCATTTGCTGCATCAAGATCATGCAGGGTAACATCCTGGCAAGGAAACAAAATTAAGCAAAATGTCACCAAGAACATCCAGCCTATGCAAACCAAGAGAATCTTGGGAAAAGTCTATTAGGATTTTGCAGGCATCATTCTCTTTATGAAGTAAAAAAAAATTATTGTATGGAAATGAAATTTGAACAACAATTTGGGAACATTCCAGAAAGGAAAATTTGATAATTTATACAGGACAAAAGAGTTCACTAATATTACTATCGTAGCATAGTAACAACTCATCATTCATTTTTTTTTTTTAACAGCGGTTCATCATTTTTACAGCAATAATAACAACAGCCCAGTCAAATGAATAAACAATAGCTGGAAGATTAAAGATTAATCTATGGGGGATTTCCAACAGGACTGGGCTGATTTGTAATTAGTTTCTTCATGCTTCTGTACGAGAATACCTTGTCCTCTTGCGATACTTCTCTCTTTATTGTAGTAATATATAAGTAAATAAACAATATAATTCCTTGTTGTTTCAAACTCATATATATTCTTCCCTCCAGTTAACGGATGAGAAGTCCCCCTTCACCAACGTTTCATTTTGTTCTTATTTGCATTTTTCCTAGTCTCCTGCACCTTCCCTCTCTTGTGCCCTATTATTCTATCTGATCATCATCTCTCATTTCTCACTCTCAAAAGGGCTAGGGGTAATTATTATCCTTTGGTCTTTTCTATCACTTAGGGTTTCCCATTTGCTGTGACACCAAGAATTTTATACTACTTCTGTTTCATAATTTTTGCAACTTTGGAATATTTTATATCTCACAAATAATACCCCAAAGTTGCAAAAAATATGAAACATAGGTAGTACATATTTCAGTTGGGGTGATGGTGTACGCAATGGTGCTTAGAACAGTGATTCAAATCCTTTTAATGATCCTCATATAAGACTTGCTTAGAGCAATGATTCAAATCCATTTAATGATCCTCATATAAGACTTGCTTCCTTGATGAAATTGAGATATTCCTTTTTTTTTTCTTTTTTTTTTTGTTGGGGGTGGGGGGCGGCGAAACATTTCTCCTAGTCAGGCAGACATCAAAATTTGTCTCAACTCTCAATGAAGACATCTCCTATCTTAAAATCAATCCTAGGAAGTAATCATTCTTAGAGGAGAAGCCTTGAAACACTGTAAACTCAGAAACAGAATCTAGGCTATACAGTAGGTTTTCACAAAGATCCAACATGAAAAAACCTTGAAAAAACTTTTAAAGCCTCAATACATTTAAACCTACTCAAATACCGCATTACACAGAAATGCATAATATGTTAATTACGTTGTTATGTATCTGTAATGTGTATGGACCAGGAAAGTTAAACATGTCCCATTTTCACAACTACAGTAAGGACACATTTCACTTCAGTTCTTATAGATCCATTTTGCATTGCCATCGTATCATACAGCTTACGGGTTATGACTTATGACACAGGACTACAAGGAATAAACAGCGGAATCAGAAGCAACCATCACATCACAAACCTGCACAATCTCCTTTTTTTTATGAACTTCTCCTTTAGGAAGTGGGACATACTCCTCCGCCTCAAGGTCAAATTCTGTGGCAAAAGCATCACTTCTCCCCACTCTCTTAACCGCCCCACTGTTCGCTTCAATATAAATAACATCACCGACAGCCACCTGCATCCACAAACAGATATAAGAGATCCTGGTGAGTATTAATCAAAGACAATAAGCAGTGTAGTTTTGCTTAAACCAGTACAGCAATACTCTGCATCTTCTCAACCTCCTTTCCTCTTCCTAAAATTAAACAATTAAAGAGCTAACGATTCTCCTTTTTGACTGAGGTTACGGAAGAAATGGAGTATACAGAGAACACGCAATATGACAACATAGACAAGATATGGCAGAATATCCATGAACAAGAGTATGGATATACCTTTTCCTTTATCAAAGCATCGTAGATAGTTGGATCCAGCTTCAATTGCTTGGTTCCTTTTACAGTTTTCAGCCCAATGATTACATGACTGATGCTCTTACCATAGCCACCAGTCACACTTTCAGTTTCTTCGGGGGAGAGTTCAGTCACCTAAAATGTAAGTAGGTGAAGTGTAAGAGAATCTCAAACAAATAATTTATCTCAAGAAGTTGAGCATTCATGCCTGGACTATTATATATATTTATGAACGAATGTGAACACAGCAGATACCACCACAAAATCATCACGATAGAAGCTAAAAGTTGAACCAAAATAGAGCTACACTACAAATCAAGACTCACTTCTCCTTCATAAACCTCCTTGTTTTCCTTGATACGTAAACCAATGGCTCTCCTAAAGTTCTCCATTAGGACCTCAGTCTTCTTCACTTCTGATGAGTAAACTTCTGACCCAACCATAGGGCAGAATGGAACCTGCAAGTCAGATATAAACCAAACGATATAATTTTGTAATGCTTAGCTAGGCCAATTTTTAGAAATTACACATCTACGTCCACATTAAAAAT